CCCGGGGCGCCCCCTGCGGGCCTGCTCGGCGCCCCCTCGGGCTACACGGCACCTGCCCGGCGCCCCAGGAGCTCGGTTTTCAGTAGCACTTACTCTCCCTGATACGTGGCATGTTTTCCTATTTTGTTTCTCGTCTCTTCTGATGGAAACAAGCTCCGCCCAGGGACACGAGGGTTTTGCTCCTTGTGTGGGCTCCTAGACCCCAGGCACGTGGCGCACCCATTGTGTTACATGAATGAACGCGTCCCGGGGTAAAATGGTTTCCCCAGTGGCACAGGCAGGCCCTGAACGCACAGCCTGTCCCGTGAATGCCTGCCCGCAACGGGCAGCAAGGCCCAGGGTCTCCCGCAGAGGGCAGGGGGCGCTCACAGCTCCGGAGCCCCCGCCCATCCTGCGCAGCCCCCTCCCCAGGGCTCTCCCTCGGCCTTTCTCCGGAGCCCCACCCTCTCACCTCCCTCGCACCCAGTCCTTCCTCAGACCCCCTCCGGGTCCCCGATACCCGGCTGACTGAGGGAGCGGGTCCTGGCTGACACGGGACAGGGAGCCCTGCTCTCAGAGGCGCCCTGCTCTGCTCAGGGAGGCCCTGGCCCCTTTAACCCAAGGCCCAGGGTCTCAGAGAGCAGCCAGAGGGGCACCTCCTCCCTCGAGTCTCCGCACGCAGGGGCCAGAGGTACCCGAGGCTCACACCCCTGTGCATCCTGGCTCCTCCCTGCGGACCGCAGATCGGAGGCCACCCCTCTGGGCCTCCTCTCATCTGTGCGTGAAATGGCGGCACCCACCTGGCAGCAGGAACTGAGATGATGTCGAAGATAACTGCCAAGGTCATTATCCTCACACCGCAGAGCTGGCTTCCAGGAACAAGGACACTCACGAACCCCTTCCCTGGGCTCAGCCCCTGCTCGAGCGCCTTCCACCCCCTGCCCCTCAGCATGGCCTCTACCAGCCTACCACCCCGGGCACCCCGACCTGCTTTCCCCCCAGGCCCACGCAGCAAGGTGGCTCCCTGCTGTGCCCGGCCCCACTTCTTGCTCTCTCAGACTCCCCAGGGGATGGGCAGAATGGGCGGGGGTGCTGCTCTGTCATCCCAGAAAGGCCACGGAACAGGCGGAGTCCACGACCCTTCCTTCTGTTGGATTGTTCCAAGCTGAAGCCAAAGAGCCACCCAGGCCCACTTTGCTGTTCCTCCCAAGACCCAGAGATCAGGGAGACCTTCGAGGGGCATGGAGAGGTTGCCCCAACTTTCTCTATCAACACTACCATGTCCCACGGGACAGTGTTCTCGACTGCCCTGCCTCCGTCTACCCCGTCTTTTCCAAGCAGGCCTCCACTTGTCCTCTGACTCTTCATCTTGGGGCAGCAGCCTGGTTGCTGCTGGCTCGGTGGGGCAGGGAGGTAACAATCCAGAACCGCAGCTGAACTCTGACTGCCTGGTACTCAAAACCAGCAATGAGGCGAAGGCCTCGCCACCAACCTCCCCTACGTGGGAACTGGCAGCTCCGCCAGCCCGCTCGGCTAAGGGATGGCCTCAGAGTGTGTGCCTTGGGCCCCAGGTCCTAGTCCATCTTCCTGCTGATGGCTTGCAGCTGGAAGGAGGCCAGAAGCCCCTAGAAAGCCCCGAGTCCCCTCCTGGGTCGGTCCTCAGCTGCATGGCACGCCTGGCCATTCCGCGGGAGGCAGCAATCCCAGGCCCCATCTGTGCTGCCCAGAGGTCCTGAACCCCAGGAGAGCTGGCTTCTGTTTCCTGCTGTGGCCGCAGATGCCAGGGTCACTAGGGTCTTATAAGGCAGGCCTGGGAGGAGGTGGGCCCTGGAGGGTCCATTCCTTAAGTGTTGGCTTCAAGGAGGCCGAGCCATAGGGCACAGAGGTCCTGGGAGCTGCCAAAGGGCAGTGTGCTCTGAGTCAAGGTGACTGTGTCCTTCCTGCTCCCTGAGCAGGCAGGGCTGGGGACATTTTCTTCTGCTTCGACGGCTAGGGGACAAGGGCAAACCTGTCTGTGCCACCTCTCCCACAGCAAATACCTTGGAGAGAAACACACTCTCCCCTTGCCTCGGAGCTCACTCCAAGTCTTAAACCAGAGCCCAGGCTGCCTGGTCCCCACGGCCCTCCCTTCCAGCAGCCACGCTTCTCCTCATCTCTGAACAACAGCTCAGGCTCGCTAGCCACCTCCAGAAAGACGCCCAGGAGCAACACCAGTCACTGCTGCTCCTTCCCTTCCTCCCTGGCCTGAGGAGGCTGGAAGGCTTGCCTCTGGCTTTGTAACTACCCTTGTCGCTTACTTCACAGACTGCCAGGCCTCTCCTGGCCTCTGTGAGGGCGCCGATCGTGATGTCTGTTAAATGTCTGTGCCTCATGTCTGCTGCCCAGCTCTCCTCACTCAGCAACAGTGCACCCAACTCAATAGTTCCAAAGAGCCTGAGCCTCCTGACCTGCCTAGTTCCCACCGACAGCCCAGCCAGCAGGCTTTGAGACACCCATGGTACAGAAGAGGAAACCGCAGGACTTGGACAGGTTGGAACTTGCACCCGGGTCAGACAGAGGGAACCTGCTACCAAAGAAAGAAAAGGAAATGGGCGATGATATAAATATTGATAACATGACATCTACATGGATAATTTTCTGAGTGTTTTTATGTCCACTGTATCACCTTGACCTTGGTGGACCCATTATACAGTTGAGCAGACCGAGGCTTAAGTGGCCCAGCTTACCCTACAGCTGGGAAGGGCTTCACTTTGCAAAGAAGGAAACTGCTGGAGATGCTGGGGCCGGCCCAAGCTCACACAGCTGGAGAGAAGAGGGGGGCACAGGAGACTGAGAATGGCCCGAGCCTCCTCCTGCTCCACCAGGCTGCCTCCAAGCCTGGCTTGGAGGCAGGAGCCCACTCTTCGGGACAGGGCAGGGAGCCCATCCCCCAACAGCCCCCCTACCACCCCAAGACCTTCAGAACACCCTCCTGCAGCATCACCTGACGGCTCTGCCATCACTCTCTTGGCAGGTGGCCCACTATTACGCAACCAGGCACGAGGCTGGGGTTGGCTCCATAAAATCAACAGCTAGTTGGCTTGAGCTGGCTGACTCGCCCCCCTGGAGTTCAGCTGTGACAGCAATGAATCACACTAATGGTGAGAGGTGAGCATTCTTCCTCTTTGTGGCCTGGAGACAGGTATTTCCAAAGCTCCTCCCCTGGCTCAGGCAAACACACCTGACCTACCTTCTCTCTCTCTCCCCCCAGGGTGAGGCAGAGCAGCCAGGGACAAGGTGAGGTGAACCAGACAGAGCTGGACAGCCCTCCCACCCCAGCTCTGCTCAGCTACCCCGCCTGGGGTGATCTTGGGGAGGGCAGGCCTTCCCCACAGAGGGAAGGGGCAAGGAGCCAGTGACCTTGGGGTGTGCTTCAGCCAGCATCCCTCTCACCTGCCCCTCCCTCCCTGCCCCTTGCACTCTGCCTCTGACTCCCTTGAGAACAACTTGGCCAGTTCCAACCCACAACCTGCAAAAAATCCAGAGTGGTGGGGAGGTTACAGCTTGGGGGCCCAGGAGGCGGACTGGCCTGTTTTCATGTGCTGTTAAGTAACGCAAACACCTCTTGCATTAGACTGCAACATCTTTGGAGTGGATGCCTGGGGCCATGAGGAGCTGGGAGACAGAATGTTCAGGACACTCCAGCGAGGTCTCTAAGACCAGGAGACTCAGCATTCCTCTGGGATATGTCACTGCCGGGCAGCTTCCTATGCAACCAAGCCCCATCATCTGTATCTGACCAAGTTACAAATGTAAGTCACGTGCCTAGAGGCTGAGTGGACAGACATGGCCCTGCTGGGTCTGTCCCTGCAGGAGGAAGAGCCAGTCCAGAAGGCAGACTCACATTAAGCAGCCCCGTGCAGGGGTCCTGGGTCCTTCCCTGGCCCTGCAGTGCTAGACTGGAGGGAGAAGGCTCACCCGTCAGTGGAGGGGGTGAGGGTGGGGGTGGGGGGCTCTCCCAATTTGGGCTTGGACACTTAAGTCACCCCGGGTAGGTTCTCAGCCTATTTTGCCAAGAGCACTCCAGCAGCTGCTCATATTCCTGCAGCTCAAACACCTCCAGTGGTGGGGACTCATTCCAGTTTAGGGTCTTAACATCTGTGGGAACGAAGGACCCCCACACTAAATCAAGTCCTGCCACCCTCGCACGCCCAGCTGGTGGGCCTATGCTCTTCCCTGCAGAGCACGAGGACACTGGCCCAGAGCTGGAGCCACCTGGCTGGACCTCGGCTTTGCCACCAGGACTGCAAACGCGGGTGGTCTCACCAGCCGTCTACAAAAGAGACACCGTCACAGGGTTGAGTTCTGAATGTAGATACATGTGAGTCTAAGCCCAGTGTTTACATATAGCAAGTGCTTGATAAATGTCAGCTGCTTGTATTTATCATCATTAGTATTATTTTGATGATCAGTTTCTGACTGTTCTTTATGTGTTGTTTCCAGACCGCTCAGCTCCCACCAGATCCTCCCCAGGGCAGTCTTGCTAGTTTATGCCTGGAAGGGACTGCCAGGCTCCCGTGTGGTCTCTCCAACCCAGAGGACCCTCCCCTTGGTCTGGACACCAGCCTCCCCTGGAGGAAGCCAGGCCACATGCTGTGCTATACACACCACAAACTTATCAGAGAACCTACCTGCCTACCTACCTTGGAGATAATGCTGGATTACCAGGAGAAATGGTGGGTGCTTGGAGTCCGGCAGACAGGGAGGAGCCTTCTGTCCTGTGCTGGAGACAACTGTCATTCTGTTATTAACAGTTATCATGAGAAAGGCCAGAGCCTCCCTATTGGACTTCTTATACTTGGTTGTACAGTTTAATGTCTTATTTTTAATAATGGATATGGAAAGGTTCGCAGTCTGCTGTGGCGCTGGGGCAGTGAGGATCTCCCTGCAGCCCTCTGTGAAGTGGCCAGAGGCCTATAACCCTGACGATGAGTGCTCCACGGATGGGGGCGCTGCCTACTTCAGCTTTCTAACCAGTGACAATGTTGGGTTGACAATGTTGAACTTGATCTCAACTATAAGCCTCACTCTTCTCAAAGACCTGGGGGACTGAAGGGAAGAACAGGCCCAGAAGTAGTGAGGCAGCCGGGGAGTAGGGTAGGAGGAGGCAGGCAAGGAATGGGTGCACCCCACCCCACCCCGAGTCCTCCAGGACCTGTGACTTGCAATTCTGAAGCTCTAAACAACTCACAGAATCTAGACAGGGGCCCAGCCGGGCGTGGCTCAGCAGTTGAGCATCAACCTAGCATCCAGGCGATCGGGGTTCGATTCCCGGTCAGAGCACATGCCCGGGTTGCGGGCTGCAGCCGATCAATGACTCTCTCATCACTGATGTTTCTACCTCTCTCTCTCCCTGTCCTTTCCTCTCTGGAATCAGTAGGGATATATTAAAAAAAAAGAATCGAGACAGACTCTAGGAACATTTCTGAGTCCCTAAGATTTTCCAGGCATTCTTACATCAGAATAAGACATCTCTTGCCCTCGAGAAACCGTCTCGTGGTGAAGACACACAAAGCACAGAGAGGTGCGCAGCACACCGACTTCCAGGGCACACTGCCCCACAGCTGTGTTCATTTGGCCATCAGTACTTTTTAGAAAACGGAGCTGAAGTCTTTGGAAAGACATTCTAGGTGGCCCAGGGCCTATGCCCCACCTATTGTGTCAGGACAGCTGATTCACACACGGACATTACCAGCCTGGCCTCTGCAGCTTGGGTCCAAGGTACTGAGTATTAGATGTGAAGATAAAGGCAAGAACCAATGTGACAGAGCACAGAAAAGAAGGGACTATTCTACCTGAAGTCCAGGAAAGCTTCAGAGAGGACGAATTTGGCTTGGCAGAAAGATGAAAGGCTTGGTCATAACCCGAGGGACCACCTATGCACCTCTTTGTCAAATCCTTAGGTACTGGCCCCAAAATTGACCAAAGGGAGAGGTTAGAACCTTTCATTTCAGGCCAGGGAGCCCTGTCAAGAAACTGTGATTCCCTTGTCTCCAGGACAGGCAAAGGGACAGTCCTGGGCCACTGACTGGGGGGGATAGGAGGAGCTGGGAGCAGGAGGAGGAAGGGGCGAGGAGGAGGGGTCTGGGTGGAGGAAAGAGGAAGGGGAGGGAAGAGGAACAGCTGGGCCCAAGAAGCGCCACTCAGCTGCCTCTCCAGCCCCCACTCCCTCCCTCTGCCAAGGACAGAGTCCCTTCGGCCCTTCAAGTATTTTAGTTCTTTCACACAAAGGAATGCACCTCTGAGCCACTAGGAAACAAATGGTATTTATTCCAGGTTGTTGGGAGGATAGGTCACAACAGACAGCAGTCCTGTCACGCGGTTGGTTAGTTTCCAAGGTAACACGATGCATAGGGGGCGGGGCCTGGTTTCTTTCCACTCTTTATGACCTTTGACCTCTTGCTGTTCCCAGCAGCAGGGCTGCAGGGAGCCCGCCTGGTCTCTAACCTGCCGCAGGGCCGCTGCACTGCCCCTGGGGTGGTGACAGGCGGAGCAGAGGGCGCAGGAGCCAAGACTGCTCACCTACCAATGGGCTGTGGACAGAGAAGCAAAGGAGGCCGGCTCTCCCTGCTGCCCTCCCAGAACGCTGGCCCAAACAGAGCGGGCCGCTGGCCAGGGACCCAAGGCAAGGATGGGAGTCTGAGCCCAGACGAGCCGGGCTATACATCAGAGTCTCGGAAGCAGGGAGGCAGGACGGAGGGCAGGGATCCAGAGCCCAAGGGGTTATTGCTGAGAAGATATGCAAGGGGCATTCCCCAGGGGCAGAGTACAAGCCCCCGCCTGCCTGCCTGGCCACTCTGCGATGGGGCAGGGCCGATGGGAACTCCATGGTGGTGGTCCCAGGACCAAATGACCAGGGAAGGGGCGTCGCCTGCCTGAAGGTGCAGCTGGGCTCACCAGCCCCTTGCTGTGACCCTCCAATTGCTAAGAGACCCTCAGAACAGACTTAGGTCAGAGGTGGAATGCTGAAGCAAGGTTCTTGCAAATGGAGTGAAGAGAGGCCATAACTAATGATCATGAGAGTGATGTAAACCTTCCCAAGTCCCAGGACGAGTGGAGACTCCCACCTGGGCCCCAACCCTACTCCCGCCTCTAAATCAAGAGAAGGGACTGGTCCCTCAGGAAAAAGCAGACTCCTGGGAGCGGGAGGGGAGGGAGGCGCCGTGGGGGAGCAGGAAGGAGCTGATGGTGACCTAGCTCAGCTCCAGCCCAGGAAGTGCGTCCAGGTTCACTAAACAGCGTCAGCCACAGACAAGCAGCCACGAAGACCACGGTCATCACACACACACACACACACACAGACACATCACAGGAGGTGGACAAGCCCACAGGGTGCAGCAGGGGAGGTGGGAGTTAGTCGCGGCACTAAGTAGAGGACTGTGTTCAGAGGGGTGGGGAGGGGACACGCGAGTTCTTGACTTCTCCCGGGGGAAGATCTGTTGCTGAAGTGGCTGGTTTTCTTAAGCATCATCATTTCCATCTAAAGGTTCAAGCGCTGCCTTCAGGTTCTGGAGGCTGCAGAGGGAGAGAATTTAAGTTAAAACAAAACTCTGGCTCCTTTTAGACATCTTTAGCCCAGCAGGTGTGGCACCATCCTGTGCACTGAAAGGTTGACAGCTTGATTCCCCGATGGGGCACATACCTGGGTTGCAGGTTTGATCCCCAGTAGGGGTGCATATGGAAGACAACAGATCAATGTTTTTCTCTCAAGTAGATGTTTTTCTGTCTCTCTTTATTTCTCTAGGCATGTCCTCAGGTGAGGATTTAAAAAAAAAGAAATCTTTAACTGCTCGGCTCCCTGCCTTTAGCAGCCCCTCTGTCCACTGAAATTCATAGGGTGAGACCCACTCTAAGCGCCACGTTCCCGGTGAAGCAACGAAGACAAGCCTGAGACGCAGGGAAAGGAGATGAAGGCACAGGAGGGGTGGGCCTCAGGGGAAGGGCTCCCTCAGGGGGCTGGAACCTGGCTGACGTGGAAAGGAAACTGTTACACTCAGAGGCTATATCCCAGGACACCCTCAATAGTTGCTCACAGTCCTCAGACCTAGGAGAAGTGGGTTTCTGAGGACATCCTACTTAAAAAAAAGAAAGACAAGAGCAGGCAACTGCTCCCCCCTCCCTCAGCCTTCCCACACCACTCCCAGATTCCAACCTGCCAGCTGCGGCCAAGTGGCCAGAACCCCCAGCTAAGCTGGGACGCCTGCCTCCAAGACTGGACTCCCAGCCACCCCCAGCTCAGGAGTGAGTCTCCCGAGCCCCACCAGGAGATGGAGGCCCTGAGCCCTGCTCTGCCCTCCTGGCCCCCATGGGGCTAAGAGGATGTGCAGCAGGCAGGAAAGGAGTCAAACACTACAGAAGCGCACCGGTCCGCACACCGGGTCGCACGATCGGGGGAAACGCTGCTGCACGGGGCCTGTACATCCCAAACCTCTTCTAATTTACATTAGCATAAAGGAATATGCCTTATCTGTATAGAAATAAAAAAGAAAGAAAAAGCAAAAGTTAGCTGATAGAAAACAGATCCCCGGGGCCAGTATTTCCCAGGGTCTGTCATAAAGGCAAGCAGGCGGGAGCAGATGTGAAAACGGCACTAAATGCAAAGGCCTGGGTTCAGGTCCCCGTCTGTCACTTCCTATCTGGACGGCCCTCCTCTCCGACCACAGCTGCTGCATCTACAGACTGGGGTAAGCTGTGCCCGTCCTGCCAACTGCTGCCGGCTCCAGAGAGCGTGTGGCGGCATTTGAAAACGGCACAGCATTTAACCGTCGACCTCCCTGTCCCTGCAGTGACCAACCGGAAAGGACACAGAAAGCAGCGCCCTCAGTGTGGGGAGCTCACAACCTAGTGTGGGGGGGGGTGTCGGACACTCCTCTCCTCGCTTTTGTGTAGGGTTGGAAAGTTTCACAATGAACTGCTAATTTTAAAAAGTGGCCGCAAGGAACTTTCTGAATCGCGTCTAAAAGCCTACCTGATATTAGAAGTATTGCACTAACTAATTCTCTCCCAAGCTGTGCCCACATGGCAGCTAGGCTGACGCCAGTTAACCTGACCGCTGGCCTGTGTCCGTCTGTCTCACCATCCCTTTCAGACACAAGACTCCTGAGAGCACAGCTCACGTGAAAGCTGTGCCCAGGGAAACCGCAGCCCCACTGCGCCCCGGGACAAGGGCGGTGGTGGTGACAGGCGGCGCCGGCCCGCAGCCCTTACCTCCTCGCCGGGGCTGCGCTTCAGTTCTCGGCTTTCTGGGGCTCTGTTGCTAGAAAGGAAACCAGAACAGACCACAGTGAACGGGCCCCTCGCCCGAGGCCCGGCCGCAGCCCCGCCTGCGCCAACTGTGCGGGAGCCTGGCCCACAGAGCAGGGGCTCCGAGTCAGACCAGGTGCAAATCGCTGCCCTGCTACTGCCGGTCCCAGGGACTCGGCACATACGCCCCTTAACTGTGGACAGCGGTGCCCGCCTCACGGGGCTGTGGGCATGCGCGTTAATGAGATACCGGGCCTGTGACACTTGGTATCAGGCCTGACACTAAGCAGACACGTAAACAGCGGCTATCGGGGGCAGACTGCCTGGCAGAGAGGAGACGGGCGGGTGGCGACGGTTACCGTTGGCGGCGATGAGGTTCTCCACTTGGGTCTCCTCCTCCCCTGGAGCCCTGCGGGGACAAGGCAGCCTCCTGTCACGCTCCACGCAGGCCCACGCTCCTTCTTGGGCAGGGGCCTCGGCTCACCGGGGGCACCCCCCTCTCCACAGGACTCACAGGGCGAGGGAGGATTGGGGGCTCACAGGGAGAGGGAGGAGTGGGGGCTCACAGGATGGAGGAGGAGTGGGGGCTCACAGGGAGAGGGAGGAGTGGGGGCTCACAGGATGGAGGAGGAGTGGGGGCTCACAGGGAGAGGGAGGAGTGGGGGCTCACAGGATGGAGGAGGAGTGGGGGCTCACAGGGAGAGGGAGGAGTGGGGGCTCACAGGATGGAGGAGGAGTGGGGGCTCACAGGGTGAGGGAGGAGTGGGGGCTCACAGGATGGAGGAGGAGTGGGGGCTCACAGGGTGAGGGAGGAGTGGGGGCTCACAGGATGGAGGAGGAGTGGGGGCTCACAGGGTGAGGGAGGAGTGGGGGCTCACAGGATGGAGGAGGAGTGGGGGCTCACAGGGTGAGGGAGGAGTGGGGGCTCACAGGATGGAGGAGGAGTGGGGGCTCACAGGGTGAGGGAGGAGTGGGGGCTCACAGGATGGAGGAGGAGTGGGGGCTCACAGGGTGAGGGAGGAGTGGGGGCTCACAGGATGGAGGAGGAGTGGGGGCTCACAGGGTGAGGGAGGAGTGGGGGCTCACAGGATGGAGGAGGAGTGGGGGCTCACAGGGTGAGGGAGGAGTGGGGGCTCACAGGATGGAGGAGGAGTGGGGGCTCACAGGGTGAGGGAGGAGTGGGGGCTCACAGGATGGAGGAGGAGTGGGGGCTCACAGGGTGAGGGAGGAGTGGGGGCTCACAGGATGGAGGAGGAGTGGGGGCTCACAGGGTGAGGGAGGAGTGGGGGCTCACAGGATGGAGGAGGAGTGGGGGCTCACAGGGTGAGGGAGGAGTGGGGGCTCACAGGATGGAGGAGGAGTGGGGGCTCACAGGGTGAGGGAGGAGTGGGGGCTCACAGGATGGAGGAGGAGTGGGGGCTCACAGGGTGAGGGAGGAGTGGGGGCTCACAGGATGGAGGAGGAGTGGGGGCTCACAGGGTGAGGGAGGAGTGGGGGCTCACAGGATGGAGGAGGAGTGGGGGCTCACAGGGTGAGGGAGGAGTGGGGGCTCACAGGATGGAGGAGGAGTGGGGGCTCACAGGGTGAGGGAGGAGTGGGGGCTCACAGGATGGAGGAGGAGTGGGGGCTCACAGGGTGAGGGAGGAGTGGGGGCTCACAGGGAGAGGGAGGAGTGGGGACTGAAGGGGCAGAGCCATGGGACTTACAGGCACCCTTCAATGTCAGCCCCAAAGAACAAAGTACTGGGAGGGATGACCCAGGGCCTCCTGCAGACTCTGGACTTCTGAGGTCCAGAGCTCCCCTTGGCCATGGTAGTGGGCTAATGGCTGGGCCTCCATGTGGAAGTAGAAGGGTGAATGAAAGGGAGCCCAAGCTCTGCTCCACTTAAGAGAGCCCCATGAAGAGGTGAGAAGGAGGGCCCATGTCACAGGCCCTGAAGAGAGGAGATGGACCTCAAGAGAGGCCCTGAGGCCCTCCGCCTCCCTTCTCAATGACCTAGCACCTTCCTGCCCACTTTCCATCCCGCACACTCATCGGGGAGAGGAGGGGCCTAACCATCGAAGTCCCCTGGCAATTCTCAAAACTTCTGCCCCACCCTCAAGGCACTTGGCCTGTTTCCAAGAATCTACACACACTCATTTGGGTCCACACCAGGAGGCCCCTCCCTGTTCCTCCTATCACCCCAAGTGCCCACAGCCTTACCGGGGCTTCTGACTGAAACTGCACTTGCATCTGCGACCTGAAAGGCAAGGAAACCACCCAAGGTCATCCTCCGGCTTGAGTTCAAGGTCACGCTCCTGCTGTGGCCACAGCAGGGCTACCCTGTGAGTCGGGGCAGGCTGTGAGACAGGTAAATAGCACCCCTGCCCCGGACAGTGCGCGGCCCGCACAGCTGTGCGCGGCGATCCGCGGCGGGAGGAGGGCGCCGCTGAGCCAGGTGCATTCACAGCAGCTGGGAGGGCTGCGCCACACGGCTGCCTGATCGCGCCAGCGCGGACCGGGCTCACGCAGGGAAAACTAACGAGGGCACACTGCGGGCAGGCTCTGTCCTATGTCCTGTGACCACCTCACGCCTGCTGGTACAGCACCAGGAGGGCCACCCTGCCCCTTCTTATCAGTGCTTACTGTCATCGAGCATTTGTCTTGCTCATGCTTCACCGTTTTACTGAGCACTGTATTAGGTCCTAGCGACGGCAGGACGGGGCCAGCCAGGCTCTCGCACTGCTCTCCGCATGCTTAGCAGCAGACCTTGCTCCGCTGGGTGAACTTACTGAGGATGAGGAGGATCCCGACAGAGAAGAAGGCCACAGCACACACCAGCCCCCCGATCCTCAGGGTCTGGTAATCTGCCAAAGGAACAGGGAGAGGAGTGAAGAGGAAGGCCCAGGCGGGTGCCTCACCTGCCCGAGGGCCAGGCCTGCCCCTCTCCCGGGGCTGCCGTCACCACTCACCATAATGGAAAGGGTCCTTTTCCTTCTCCTGCTCGTCAGCTGCAGAAACAAACAAGCCAGTCAAGAGGAGAGCCACACACCCTTCGTCCCGCACCTTGCTCGCCTCTCAGGCCTCCTCCCCCGGGGTTGCCCGGGAAGCAGGGCCTATTAGGCCGACGTGCCTGGAGAAGCGGGCAAGGGCTGGCCGCCTGCTGCCCGAGGGCAGGTACCCTGAGCCCATGAGAATGTGCTCACAGCACAGCGACACCTAAGGTCCCTTTTTACTCATGTCACCCCCACAAGGCAGGGCCTATGTTCCTCATTACAGGTGAGGAAAAACATGTGACTGGCACAAGGCCAGGGTCCAAAGACTGCCATGCAGGTCTGGCTCCCAAAGTTTGGGCCAGAAGTCCACAGGGGCCTGGTGGACTTGAGGCTTGAAAGCAGCCCCTGCTGGAGCCTGTGGGGAGGGGTGGACAGGCTGGCTGAAGGTCTATGAACAGCTGCCGCCTTCCAGGGCTTTCTCTGTTGACTGAGGGGGCCAGGGCTGATCAGACATGTAGACTCTGAGAGCCCCAAACCTGGAGTCCCAAAGAGCCAGGACCTCCCACCAGAGAAGGCCATGGCTGCCCATTGTCGGAGCCACGTCTTGTGGGCACTTACCACTGGCCAGGACGGCGGGGGCCAGCAGGCTGCACAGGAAGATCAGCACCACCTCCATGGCGTCTGGGGGCAGAGGGGGGAAAAGTGATTCCCTGGGCAGGAGAACCCACTCCGACCCTCAGCCTGACCTGGGCCCAGCGAGGTCCAGCTCTGTGCTGAGCACTCTCCACATGGTGAGTTCAAACAGCGAGGCAGAGGAGCTGGCACACCAACTCTGGCACCGCACTCTGCGCACTAACCCAATTACTACCACTAACCAACTCAACCAGCAGGCCCGGTGACTAACCCCCTTTGCAGGTCAAGAACCTGAGCTCAGAGGGTAAATGACATAGGATAGTGAGCAGCGGCCGAGATCCTAGCCCAGCTCAGTAACTCCTCTGCCGCTTGACTCTGGCACCAAAGCCATGCAGCCCTAACAGCCTTGGAGATGAGCCCTCTGGTTACCTCTCCTCCAAGCCACCCTTCTGCAACTTCCTGGCCTGGTGCCCCACAGCCCAGACCCGCTGTTGAAGCTCTTCCTCCTATGAGGTTAACGGTGCAGCCAGCCAGGTAGGCCAGAGACCGCTGTTTCCTGAGCTCAGTACCGCCAACCCTGAAATGCTGGCAGCTCTCCCAGTTGTCCCCACACTCTCGCCTCTAACATGCCCAAGTCAGCTCTTCCATAGGCTTCAGTGCACAATACTCTAGAAAGGCAGTTTGATTAAACAAAGGGAGTGTGGAAACTGATTCTCTAGAGCATCAGTGCCTGGGGCCCGTTCCCCAGAAGACGCCCGAGACTTCTGCTCGTGAGCTCATCAAAGCCCCTGGTCTCTGGGCTTGACCGCCCCAGGATGGCCCACCTGGATGAAAGCAGAGGACAGGGCCACCTGCTCCCTCCCAGGGGAAGATTTCAGTGGTTACACACATGTTGTTCCTGGGCTTAGAGTGTGGTGAAAAGCCAGAGGAAAAGGGGGAAAAACCTGAACCAGGAAAGTCCAAGGCTGTTTGCTCTTTTCCCAGTGGGTGAGACTGGCAGTGGCCAGGACCAGGCTAGTTCCAAGGGATCCGGCCCTACTGCTTCCCAGCCCAAGCAGCCCCAGCTGCCCTTCCCCTCCCAGCCACCAGAGGTCAGACCGCTGCATCCAGCCCACGGAGGCACAGACTCGGACTCTGCGTGGACATTCAAGCAGCTTCTTCCACAGGCACTTTCGCTTCTAATGGTACCTCATTTATGAACTGTATTTCTTTAAAGTTTTACATTATAGTTTAATTGTATGAAAAATATGTAACACGTAATAAACACAATAAGGTAAACACCCATGAACAAGTGACTTAAGAACTAGAACTTTACAAATACTGCTGCACTTCCCTCGTTTCCCCTCCTTCCTATCCCCCGCCCCACTCCCACAGGGAAACAGTATCCTGAACACACACTGTGTGTGTGTGTGCGTGTGTGTTTATTGATTTCAGAGAGAGGACGAGAGAGGGCAAGAGAGAAACATCAATGATGAGAGTCACTGATTTGCTGCCTCCTCACGCCCCCCACTGGGGATCGAGCCCGAAACCCAGGCATGTGCCCTGACCAGGAATCGAACTGTGACCTCCTGGCCCTTGGGCCAATGCTCAACCACTGAGCCACGCCGGCCGGGCCTGAATATATATATTTTTAATCATTCCCTTGTTCCTCTTCAAAAAAAATTTTACCTTAAGAAATCCCATACCATAAAGTTCACCATTTGAAAGGGTACAATTCAATGGCTTTTAGGATAATCACAAAATCGTACAAACATCATCAACTTCAGAATATTTTCACCATCTCCAAAGAGACCCTGTACCCAAAGTCTGTGACTCCCACCCTCTCTTTCCCCTAACCCCTGACAATCACTACTCTACTCTGTCTCTATGGACTTGCCTATTCTGGACATTTCATATTTTAAAAAATCATGAGTATGTGGCCTTTCACACCTGATTTCTTCCCCTTAGCATAACGTTTTCAAGGTTCACCCATACTTGGCACATGCCAGTACTTCATTCGTTCTTATGGTGGAATAAGTTTCCATTGTATGAATATTCATCCTGCTCTTCTTTTTTAAAATACATCTAAATAAGATACTGTTTAGTGGAGCTTTTTTGAGCTTTATAATTATTATACCATGTTCTTTTTTTTT